AAAATAAAATACACAGAACAAATACTAATAATAAAAATAAATATAAATAAAAAGAGAATTAAATTTAGTGAGTGCGCGAGCATGTTTTCGACACCGCCATCTTTGGCGATTTTTTTTTTTTTTTTGGGTATAGTTAAATGCCCTGAAAATTTACAGATGTGTACTTCACATAATACAAAACCCACTAAAAAGTTTTCAAAAAATAATAAAATTGTTTAGACCCCGAACTAAAGTGAAAACAAAAAGTAAAAAGTGGAAAAAAACGTGGGCGAGCACGTTTTGACACCGCCATCCTTGGCGATTTTTAATTCTTATTTGGCTAAGCCAAACGACTTGAAAATTTATAGGCATGTACCTCACGTCATAGAGAACTCACTAAAAAAAAATCAGAAACAAAATATTTTAATTTTTGGAGGGGGCCGAACGCCGTCGGGTTCGGACCCCGTTCGGGACCCCAAACGCCCGAACGTACGGAGGTCCGCCCGGGGGCCTCCGTACGTACGGGCTGGTAACACTGACGCCAAGTAAAATAAATGATCACAGGAAATGCGATAACTTGAACTAAGTAGAAAAAACTTAACTTAGAAAATGCAGGAATTAAACTAACTCCTAAAGGCTCCAACACGTGGCGAGCACTAACAGACTACCCTACTAAGCAGCAAAAAAGACAGAGCTTTAACAAAAGACAAGACATTGTTAGCAAGCATGTTATGTCAACAACTTATTCAACCTGTTAAAATCAAGAGTTCGTTCATTCAAAGTTTTCATATTTTGCTTGTCCTTATTTACAAAGACATGAACCCTGTATCTTATTTAGTTAATTTTTTAACTTTCTAAGTTGCTCTCAGTCAAAACCCATGCAATCACTAACACACTAGCCTAAAATATTCTCACAAGGAGAAAAGTCAGACCTTTGTCAACAAGCAAAACTGACTAACTTACCACAACATCGGATCAGTCAGGAGGACCTCATCTCCAGCTTCATTTCAATGTCTTAGGCAAACTAGCAAAGCAACCAGATCAATCATGAGGACCTCACTTCCAACCTCATTTCAATGTCTCAGGCAAACGAGCAAAGCGACCGGATCAGTCAGAAGGACTTCATTTTCAACCTCATTTTAATGTCTTAGACAAATGAGTAAAGCGACCAGATCAGTCAGGAAAACCTCATCTCCAACCCTATTTCAATGTCTTAGGCAAACGAGCAAAGCGACCAGATCAGTCAAAAAGACCTTATCTCCGGCCCCATTTCAATATTTTAAGCAAACAAGCAAAG